TTTAAAAATGTAAATTATTAGCTAAATGTTTATATATAAAACTTAAAGATAGCAAGTAAACATTAAGTAGGGAAAAACAAATTAAAAAAAAAAAAAAAAAAACACGATTAAAAAAATATTAGATTAACTGAACGAATATGGTTCATATAAAAATAAATCTGTTCGGATATGAATCGAATCAAATAAAAATTGATCCGATCAGATTCGAATCAGATTAGCCTAAAATCCAATTCGATCCAATCCGTTGCGATCTCTACCTCATGATACTTGATCTGTAAGTTAACCTAATTGGAGGAGTGGGCAGATATAGGGCTAATTATGAGTCCTTAAAGTATTTTGCATATAAAATTTTGCAGATTACTTATGTTCTTTTTTGAGGGACAAAGTTCATAACTTTTTACTTTAATAGGGACAAAAGTCAGAAAATGTTATAAATCAATAATTTGGATAATAGAGAACAATTGTGGGTAGTTTTTAAATAGTTATTAATTTAAAAATTTTAATGTTTCCTAGTAAGGAACATTTGACTTTTGTCTCTGCCTCCCTCTTTAGGGACCCATCTTTACATAAGACACCGATCAATTCTTTCTATCATTAATGACATTATTAGAACACATAAGATGATTAATAGGAGCTTGTTTATATTCAATTACTAATATGTTTCATGTTAATCAATCAAATACCAGGTGACATTGTGCTACCAAAAATTCAGGGTCAAACTGAAGTAGGCAAAATTCCCTGAGAAAACTGTGAAAAATTGTAGACACTTTAAGAGAGTACAAGACAGTATATGGGAAGATGAATAATAAGTCTTCCCCTGTTAACAGAACCTCTATTGCTTGTCACTTCTAGCTCTGTAAGGTGACACTTCACTTGTCAGTTCTTTTACTTCCTAGAACCTTCTTGCTCTTAGTAGAGAAAGCATGTACTCGAGTCTTTTCAAGCCACTAGAGGCTCAAGTTTTTATTCAAAGGAGGTTATAAACAAGTAAAAAAGGATAGAAGAGATATATGAAAACAAGCTTTAAGTTATTTTAATGAAAGTATAAAAACTTTATTAGCAAAGAAATATAAAACTTCTTGTGATTATCTTTTTTGTATATAGTCAGAGAATCAGCAAAAAGAGTTTTTTTTAATATAAATAAATATAATAAAAATACAGTACATAAAATAATATATATATAATCTTAGTGGTTCTCCTGAAAGATTATATGCATATAATTAATAAAAAGAAAAATAAAATAGAGAACAATATGATAAAGACAATCATAATGAAACACAACTATTACTATGAATCTATTGATGTTTGTCTATATACTATTAGTAATTCAGATCTCACATCATCTTAGAGCTTTGAGATTAGCGGTTAGGTTATATGATTTGAAATATCATGTGTTTTAGTCAAATTATTAGTTTTTCACAGCTAGAGGTCTAAATCCTTGATTATCTTAAAACCCTATGTGACAATATATTTACAACCTTTAAGAAAAATATTTATCTCATCAAAATATCTATAGTTTCCTAAGACCATTTCAGTAGTTGTCATTTGACTTTCAGGTGTAAAGTCATTCTTTTATCAAGTAACTTAGGTAAACTTGTTATATCTATCTTATGTCAAAAATACATCTTATGGGAGATAAGGAAGACTTCAGTCATTTGTACTTATTGAAATATAATAGCTATAACAATAATTAATGGAGGATTTCTATGGTCATAAAATCAATAGCTATCAAAGAGGACAGCTATTGTGAAGGCTGGAGGTTTGCTTTAGTATCACATTGGGAACCACAAGAGAAGACTAGAAATTTGGGAGAAGTAATTTAGAAAGTAATAATTAAAAGAAACCTCTGTAAGCCAACTTGCAAAAATAGTTAAAAATGAGGCAATGAAAGGCTATATATCACCTGATTACATAACACCATTGAATTGCTTGGATATTAAGAACATGACTAAAGGACTGTAACATTTAAATTTCAACTAACCTGCAGAGGACTCAAATATGGTAGGGATCATCCATAATATCCACAATTATCAAGTGGTAAACAAGACCCTATTAAGAAACATATAACACAAGCCCCTTGAAAATTATCAATAAGAAGTCAATAGTGGATCTTTGAAATGCTATAGTCCCGAATAGAACAGGACAACTGATGAAAATGGTGCCACTAAGTGATAAAATTGATGAACTTGGCCAGGATAGATAGTTTAAAAAAAGGTTATATGAATTGCTCATGTAATCTAAAAATATACTATTAAAACCTCAATAAAGATTCATCCTGTCAATTGAACTAAAAAAAAAAAATAATCTCTTTATATAAAAATTTTTATAAATATATTTTTTAAAAAATATTAACTACTATACTACTATATTAACTTTTTATTATTTTTCTAAAAATATATAAGAACATATCCATAAAAAATCTTATACTTTTAGATCAATAAAATTTTAATATTTTATTTAAAATAATTAAAAAAATAACTTTAAGAATTATTTTTATTTTATCTTTATATATTAATAAGAAAATATAACTTTAGGTAATTAAAAAAAGTCAAGAAATATATTTTTTATCTATCAAATCAAATTCCACCGGTCCATAGGACTGTTCATATAAAATTGTGGCGTTTTCATCTTGATACAGGACAGCATCATTATTGTTTCCTTTATTTGAATTAACCGGTTTTTGATCAACATTTACTGTATATTATAAATTCTATCTTTGTGGGCCTCGTTTACAATCTCTCCACTAATTTAGAATAAAATTAATTTGTAAAAGAACATGAAAAAGTACAAATAACTACAAGACTTACAATGCGACTCCTGATGTTAATTTTCCAAAAAAACATAGAAAATAAGTCAAGAATGCGATGGATCGTTTGAGCAGACCAAGTTTTTTCGTCACCGTTTATTTGCAAGCCACCGTAATAATAGTAATGTCGACAAACTTCCCTTGTCCATAAAAATAATGGCCGTGCGTCCTTATCAAGTGATTTTTCTACTTTAGATAACGCACTTTCAATATCCCCACCAAGTAAATCATGGATATATTCCTTGATATCTTTGGGAACATCAAACTTAACAGTTGTATCGCGAACGAACGATTCAAACAAGTCTCCTAAGTCCACTTTCGACAACTCTCTGAATGGACCACATAATATATATATTACGATGTTTCATATCCTTGAAAAGTTCATTAACCTTACTTTTTTTCTTTACAGCTCCAGCAACTTACATAAAAATTCCCACCTGTTGGTAAATAGACTTAAAAGAAAAATAAAAACATGAAGAATATAATCACCTTATCTTCTGAAGTTTTTGTTTGTTGGAAGCACGTATTCATATCATCACTTTGATTAGATGATGTAGTTGTTATAGGTTGCAGGTAATCCATGCGCTATGCACACAAAAAAGTTTCGCAAGTCATTTTCGAAAAAACCCTTTTTTCATGCCAAATATAAACATAATTATAATTACCCCACGCAAGAAATATGGATGGATTTGATCCTCTGGTGTTACTTGGCGATCTGCCCTCGTCCGTTTTATTTGATCTGGACATTCGAAATCGACCTAAAGTATTGGAACCCAAAATAGTCAGTTCATTATTAGGAACGATTGTAGAATAAGACTTTCTGGATCATTTAAAATATTTGATTATTGTACTAAAAAAAAAATAAACATATGATCTTTATAAAGAATGAGCTAACCTCAAAAAATTGACTTTGAGTCTGCTCGCTATATTGGGTTTGATTCTATCATCTCGAATAAGCTTGACTTGTTTTTCCAGTTTTTTATCCCGTGCGTATATATATTTCAACTAATAGATAAGAAAAGGAATGTCAATTGACATTTTATGATTTGAATAACGTCACTGTGACAGCAAAATGTACTTACATCTGAAGACTCTATTTGCCATAATTTTCTCTTCCTTAGTTCGTCCACATTTTCTTTCCAAAATGCATTAATTTCTGAAAAATCTTTTTTATCCTTAGAATGAAAGTTACTAGTTAGTATCTCAACTATTTCAATAAATATATTAAAGCTACAAGTACTGTTAAGAAATAGCAATTGACTCTCGGTCAAAAACACACTGTAACTCGCGGTTCAGTAGTGCCTCGCTATTTTTGGACTGTTGACAGATTACTACCGACTCACGGTCATCACTGTGTAACTTCACGGTTCACTAGTGTGTAGTAACAATAACTCACGGTCTACCAGGAACTCTGGATTCTTGGCCCACCAACAGTCTTTTTAAAAAAAATGAACATAACCTTAAAGTTTCTCCATGTCGACTTCGCCATTTCACCTCTTTCTCCACCTTCATCACAATTTTTTTTGACCAAGTCGAAAAAAACGCTGTTCGTGTAATTTATTGGAAAAATCCGAAAAGTTTAATCTCCATTGGAGATATCCCGAAAGCGACCGATTACTTGGATCAGTTTTGTCAAAGTATTCCATTTTATCAACCTTGTCCTATGAAAGAAACAATTAAATCGGATATTACATGGCGAAAAATGAAAGTCAAATAATACCTTGGGCATGAATTTCGATACACGCGAAAAAGTGATGCAAATCGTAAAAATGTCAGATCATATGATACTGCATATATGTAACCTCGTGTGAAATTTATGTTAACTGTCGCTTGACTAATCTCCCCACCGATTTCTTTCGGTCATATACAGTATATTTGCGAATCGAATCTGTTCAGATCCTGCAATCAGAAATAAATATTTTATAATTAATTACCCGCCTTGAGGTCAGAGAAAAAGATAGTGGTCACTAATATACCTGATGAATTTGTAGATGAACGAGTCGAAGATGAAGAATGAACGGACGATGAGGCCTCGCTTGGTCGATTGGATCTACTTCTATTTACTGAATGGATAAATTTATGCAAAGAAATTTCCGATTAGAGATTTAATCGTGGGACGTGCGGATTCCTTTTGAAATTAAGTTTGATGAGTTTGTTTTTTATGACCCTTGTTAATGCCACGTTGGTTTTGCAAGACAGCAGAAAAATTGCGAGTATAGAAGTAGGTTTGTAGAATTTAAGGTGTATATATAGTGAATAGGTTTGCAAAATAGTGCAAGTGGGATTTATGAAACATAGAGTAGGTAGATTATAGAACGCAGAGATTTACGAAATGTGAGGTAACAAAGTAAATAGGTTTTAGAATATAAAATATGTAGTATAGACTTGTGGAGATTGAAAATAGATTTGTAGAATTTAAGGTATATATTGAGTGAGTAGGTTTATAAGATATAAAATAAATGGAATTTTTGAAACATAAAGTGAGCATGAGTAAAATATACAGTAAGTAAATTATAAAGTATTTAAAAACAAGATAAAAATATATTTATTAAAAAAATAAAAAGAGCATAAAGTTGTAAATAAAAAAAAATCTATAATCTATAAACTTTTGTTAAATATAAAAAATTATTATATCTTGTAACATTTAAATGAATTTCGAATTAAATTTGTATCAAGAGATTCTCATGCAATTTTTGTCCATTCAGAAAGTAATGAATAAAAAGATTTTTTTATATCTCCAAAAGGTGTAAATTCATGAATAGTTTCTATTATCCATAAATTATATAATTCACAAACCTATATAAATTAAATTATTGTTAATAAATAAATTAATAAATAATAATAATAATAATAATAATAATAATAATTACTTTTATTAAAAAAAATAAAAAATGATTTTCTAACTATAACTTAGAATAAGGTTTTGCTTTTTTTAAGTTATTCTTTAACTCTTTTTGCTAATCCTCTGATCACACACAAAAAAAATGTTTGCAAGAAGTTTTTATACTTCCTTGCTAATAAAGTCTTAATACTTTCCTTAAAACAACTTGAAGTATGACTTCAAGAGTCACTTTTACCCTTCCCCTATTGTTTACAAACCTCTTCACTCAAAAACTTAACTCCTAGTGATCAAGAAAAGTCAAGCAATACCTTTGATACCAATGACAAGAAAGTTTTCAAAGGAAGAAGAACTGACTGTGAAGTACCTAAAGGCCTATTTAACCTTTAAAGTGAGAGATATATTGAGGTTTTTGATGACGGAAGGACTTATTTTTTTCTCTTCCAGTCACTTATGGGCCTCTTAGAACTATTGCTTTCATGGTTTTCTGAGGAATTTTACCTACTTAGTTTGACCCTGAATTTTTGGTAGCACAAATTCTGACCAAAGGTGATTGGTTAACATGAAACACATCCGTTTTTGAAATGTATACAAGCTCCTATTGATTACACTCATGTGTCTCGATACATCATTGGTGATGTAAGAAAGAAAGTTCTAGAAAAAGTGTTCCCTCCAATCATATATGTTCAATCTTCAGGAAACAATTATGATATCGAAAAGTGAGCAATGGGTATGAAAAGAAAATTCAACTTCTATCTCTCATTAAGTTCCTCAGGTGATGAAAAGACTTTCTTGAACAAAAGCTAAGGTCTCCAAGTTTCTATTCTGGTCAGATAAAGTTTTTGAAAAGATTTCATTATCCCAGTCAGGCAAACTCTTCCATAATATGATGCTAACCTCAACAGCGATAAGCGAATCCATTTACTAAAAGAAGGATAAGTTCCTCAAACATTCTTCTTAAAATCACTTTCAGGAATAACTAAGTTTCTCAAAAAGTACGAAGCTCAGAGAATATTCCAATCAAACAAACCCCTTTTGAGAGAAAACTATAAAATAAAGCAAAAATCTTTTGGAAAGCTTTGATTTGCATTCCTTTCCTTTTTTTCCCAGTACCAACTTTAGCAATTCATCATTTTTCAGAATAATATACAGTGACAAACTATTGGTGATGATCCTGGTTGACTTAGAGATACTATTGTCAAGCTACTAGGAGAGTAAAATATTGTTCCCTAAATCTGACTTAGAGTACCTAGTTTAGACTTAGTTTTGTTTAGTCCAAACTAGCTTAGTGGACTCCTCATATTTTTTAAATAGTATAGTCCTTTAACTAATAATATATAACAACAAGTTAGTCGCTTTGTGAAAATCTATAAAATATTTAGGTATTTCTCAATATCTCAATAAAAATATACCATTATGGTATATTGTAAGTTAAAAAATAATAATAATAATTACTTTTATTTTAAAACTTTTATTAACACCAATATTCAATAGTTATAATAAAGATATTAATTTATCAGGAATACTGCTGGATTAATATTTTTGTTAATTAATTGTAATTTAACAGAATCAATTAAATATGTATAAAAAAAATCAAAATTTAAAAAAAATCAAATATTTTCAATCCACTAAAGCATTTTTAATTCATTTACTCAACCTTTTTTATTTATATAAATAAATATACTATTTGAAAATTTTTTTATGTTATATTTTTTAATTTAAAAATATATATTGGTGATAGTTTAATTTTATTATCATATATCCAAAAATAACGATAATTTTTTTTTTGTTATCAGTAGTACAAATACTGACTATGTAAATTTTTTGTTTTTCAATTGTTGTTAAATTTGATAAATCAAAAGTAAGGAAAACTTTATATATATTTCTAATTAAGGATAATAAGTAATTATAGTTGATATGTTGATTTAAAATATAATTTAGAAATTCTTGTTTTTTTTTCTTTTAAATTTTTAGGCAAAAATTATATAATAATTGTTTGATAATATATTGATAAATTACAATGTTCTAAAAATCACTAAACCAATTATTAGAAAATTTAAATAATTGAATATTTAAAGAATTTTGAAAAGTATTATTTTGAATATATGAAAAAATTTTAATAATTATTAATTTTCTAGTAATAGAATTTTATAATTTTTATTTAATAATCTAATTAAATAAAAAATTTTTTAGTTGAGAATATTTAGATAGTTTTCTATTATGTAATTTAAATGTTTTTGATAAAACTTTGATTAACTTATCTTTTAGATATCCAATCCCATAATTATTTAGATTGAATATTAAAATTTTTATTTATTTCTTTAATACTAATTTTATTTTGATTTTGTTCATAATAATAAATAATATTTAATTTTCTTGTACATTCCATTTTCTTTGTTATTCATGTTTTCAAAAGACTTTTATTACTATTTTTATGAATTATTTTTTCAGAAAAAAAAATTCATACATATATATTTATTTATTTAACAATATTAACAATAAATATTTTTTACAAACAAAAAAAAACAAAAACAAAAACAATTATTGCTTTATATTCTATGTATCTATTTATATAAATTTATTTATCTTATAAATCTAATTGTCCCTTAGTTATTATTCATTCACTTGCTCTTTATTTATTTAATTCAATTATTTGTTTTACATACAAATCCATTTTACATTCGAAAATCCCACCCACCCTATGTACTGTATGTTGTGTTCTGCATTTCACACAACTTGCTTACACTAAATACTTTACATTTCAAAAACCTGAACACATATTTTACAAATCTATTCTATATTTTACAAACATATTCACCTTACATACTGCCTTATGTTTCGCAAACCACAATCACGAAAAAAGTATGTATGTACGCATATAAGAAAATAAATATGCCAAAAAAAAAAAAATAAATAAATAAGAAAAAAATTTTTATTAATTGGCAGGAAGATACGCACCATTATGATGTCCATGCATGAACCGGCAAATTTCTACAAGGGGGGGGTACTATACACCGCGACATACGGTATTATTGTTAATTGCCTTGTTTGATGCTATTGATTGAAAAAGTATTTATTCAAATCAACCGTAAGGCGATAAATCATTTTCAAGGTTACATTTGAAACCTAGGATATGTTTAAGATGCATGGAAAACCGAGACAGATGCGCCGGACAAAGATTGAACTTTAGCGAGACATGAGACATGGTAATGTATAGTTGACAAAATCCTAATAAAGTGACCTGACGGCGGGTTAAAAGTTAACAAAGTGATTGCCAATCGCTTATGCAAGTTAAATGAATAAATAAGTAAATACTATGTGCAGTATGCATTCCATGATTATTGTACTGTACAACGTTCCATAAATCGTTGCGAAAATTCCCGAGAAAATTTCTATGAATGGATCGACAAATGTCAATTATTTACAAAATTCATTATAAAAAAGAAACAATTATAAATTGATTTTTCGATTAGGATCAAACCTCCTTTGTGAATTATACAAAAAGGTTAAATTATAACCGACCGAGGTAAGGAGGGTTTCTCTTTCGATCTAGAAATAATAAGGACGAAAAGAAAGTAGTAATAAGGAAAAGGAAAAAAAAAAATGAGATAAAAAAGTCCGAGCATGCACCTGTTCGACGTGTTCTAGAATAGTACCAAAATTGAAAGTCTTATTATGGATATCTTTGCATTTCACATTGCATCGTCGCATTGTTTCGGAGAAAATCACGGAGAACCAAAAAAGGTATAATAACCTCGAGTCTCCATCTTTCCAGTTCAGTCGAGAATTTTACTCATTTAGTGAATTTCGCCTTTACAATATTTCTTCTATCTGAAGCCGCAGATAAAAGTTCTGGAACATACACACATAAACCAGAGAACTTTTCTTATTCTTTAAAAAAACCCGCATCTCAAGAATGACGAAGTCAGAATTTATAAATGATAAAGTGTCCTTCAAATTCAAGATTCCTGCGAAATTAGCGCAAGAGCAAAAATCAATATATGCACCGCCTTTTGCCACCGCGTCAGATATGTTCTGGCAATTGAAGTTTCATCCGGTATTTTAATTATTTTTTTACTTTAGATTCAACAATCAAAGCTCGAAAATTAATAATTTTTAAAAAATATATATATATATAGGAAAGCCACGATAATAAGGATTATTGCGCGTTATGGTTAATAGCTATACCAAACAAACAAGAAAAACATTCTGCAGAAACATGGTCAGCTCGAGCCGAATATTCCGTAACATATTTCATGAAAAATCCCGATGAAAAATCAAACTTTGGTAAACTAAAAAATTACAATGCGAAATCTCCTGTATGGGGTAGGTTCTCATGAATTGGTTAAAAAAACTTGTTCTTTTTTTTTAAAAAAGATAAATTCACTAAATTTGTATGAATCCACCTCGTAAATTTAGGTTTCGCCAAATTCTGCAAAAAAGATAGATTACCGAAAGACGGGGAAATAACGATTGGAGTAAGATTTAACAAGGTTCAATTTGAATCCGAGCGTATCCCAACACCACTTCCATCACAACAGATCCCTCAGGATCTGGTTAAAGCGTGGAAGGCCGAACTAAATCAACCCGAAATATCGGACGTACAATTTAATTTCACCAACTGCGAGAGAGCAAGTTGTCAAACACTATACGCGAGAAGTTCGATACTGTCCGAACGTTCCATATACTTTAATTCAATGCTCCAACAAGACAGGTGGTCGGAATCAATGAAGGACTCTAAAAATAAATCGGCAGGTGGACTTATGGAAAAGTTTAAAACCGAAATTTATAGGAAATTTAAGAGCAGAACTCCAGAGTCACAAGCTTATTATTGCAATACCATTCAACCGCAAAAAATCTCAAAGTCGACAGATTCTACCAAACTGAAACATGACAACAGCACGATTCCACCATCAGCTTGTGAGAAATTGTCATTATCAAATACCAAAAAAAACATCAACAAAGCTACACTAAACGACGATTGTCTCGAAGTATCATCTGCAAGAAACCCCAGTATACCCAAAAAATACACGGTCACGATTTCAGATTTTCATCCCGACACGTTCAAGTCGATGTTACGATTCTTATACACCGACCATATAGATTTCTACCCACTTTCTTCGCATCGCAGACCACTTGACATATTCAAAATAGCTGACAAGTATTTAATAACAGAGTTGAGAGATAGAGCAAAGACAAAGATATTTAAGGATTTAACGCCAAAGAGCGCTATCGAAATGTTATTCGATGAAAACATATGGCTGTGGGATGATCTAAAAGAGGTCATCATGACCTATGCGATTAAAAAGTTTGATGAGATCAAGAAGACTGAGATTTTTAAGGAGATAAGTGCTAAATTAAAAACTCATGAAAAAGAGAACGGAGAAAAGGATGAGAATGAGAATGCATCGGAAAAAAAGAAAGAGCGTGATGATATTGAGGAATCCGAAGATGATGAAGATATAGCCATAAGAAGGGAATTATTCCGAGAATTACTTGAAAGAGTGCGAAAAGATGTTTGTGCAGTACAATGACCCTTGAATAATGTCCAACCAAGATTTTCTTGTAATTAAGGATTTTATGATGCAATGTAAGCTTTACCTTTGTAAGATTATGAAAAAATTTTAAAACTCCTTGTTGTTAATAAAAAAAGACTTCTGATTTAAACTATCATAAATACTTCAAGACTTTTTTGTTCTGAAAAACTTTAGAATATTTACTTTCTTAGCTCAAGATATTTTAATTTAATGTCCTATTTAATTAAAATTAGTTAATAGAAACTGATTTGATACCACAGATAGTAATAAAAAAAATAATATGCATCCTTTCAATATTTAAATGAATAATATCTGAGAATATTGAAAGGTGCAACATATTCAGTTAGATATATACAGTATAAAAAAGATCTAGTTTAGTAAAACAATAAGAAACATAAATTAATAAGTTCAATATTAACTAACCTAACTATACCATTAATAATTGTATATTAATTATCCAACTTTTATTTAAAACTATTCACTCAAGAAGTATTAGTTAACCTAGTTAAAATAAATTATAATAAGCTATCATTAATTTATATATATATAGTTTGTATAAAATAATTGATATTATATTGATAATTTAATTATTTATTAAATGTTAAGTTGATTTTTAATAAAGCTTATATATAATATTAGTTATAGTTCAAATAAAAAAACTTAAAAAAATAAAATAAAAAAATAACAAATTTAAAATATAGTTATATTTTTATTATAAAAATAAAAAAAAATTTTTAAATTAATAAATATATATATATTAATATAAAAATTCAAATTTTATTTTATTACTTATTTTTTATTTGAAATTAATATTTAAACTATATAAATAATTGAAAAAAAAAACAAATTAAATAAAGATATTTTTGATCTATTTTTTTTTTTTTAACCTTAGATCAGGTTAAGTACATGTGCTTTATTAAATATTTGTATACTATACATTTTAAATGATTCGTTAAATTTAAGACTTTACCTAACTCACTTATCACTGTTTTTTTATAATATACCAAAACTTTAAGTATAACTTCAGAAGTAATTTATTATTCTGTTAAGTAAATACCATTTCAACCTTTAACATTATTGCCTGTAGATTACCATTGCAGATTACGATTCATTGTTCTGATCAAGCTTAAAACCCAACTATTTCATTCCATAATTAATACCTTTGAGTAAAATTTCTTTCAGGCTTTTATTTTCTCGAGTTTCTTTCTCTGATAGAGAATCTTTACTTTTGGGAACTGATGGTTTTAAGTTGTGTATACCTGAGGATTGGTTGATTTTTTCTACTCTGTGAATCTCCTGTAAATATTCTCATTCAATTATCTTCTCATATCTTTTGTTTCAAATCTTTTTCCTTATTTGATTGCTTACTCTTCTTTGTATCTTTGATATCCATTTTCTTGCCTTATTATCAATTCTTTTTCTATAACATTTCAGATCAGCCATTTTTAGAATTAGGTCTCTTCTTACTAGTCCTATGCAAAAGCTTAGAGTGTTCTGACTGGTTTTTGAGATTTGTTCTACCAGTTTGAAAATCCATTTATCCATCTTGGCCATTTCTTTTTCATCATAAATAATCAACCTTGCATGTTTTTCTTTTACTTTTTTTTTTTCTTTTTTAAGAATTTTTTAAAATTTTTAAGGATTTTATTTTTTCCTTTATTCCATACTTCCTGTAATTTTTTTTTGTATGTTGTAAAATTATTTTTGATCTATTTATAAAATATTTTAATAAAAGTATTATATATTTTATTAGTTATAAAGTAAAAAAAAAAAAATTTTTAATTAATTATTATTTTGAAAAATAAATTTGAATAATTTGCAAAATAAGTTTTACTATTAATTTCAAATTAAATTTTATAAATAAAAAATATATAGTTTATAGATAGCACATATTTATAAACTTTATTTATTTATATAAAAAATTTAAAATTTATTTTATTTAATAATTTATTATTTTGATTACAAGTTATTGATTAATTATTTAATTAATCAAAATTTTTTATATCTTCTTATTTTATCAATTTTTAAGAAATAAATAAATATAATAAATTAAAAAAAAAATATTAATTTTTTTAATAAAATATATATTTTTTATATTATAAATAAATTAAAAAGAAAAAAAAATTTTTTTATAATATTATATACTTATAGTATATAATTTTTATTTATAAATATTATATATAGTTTTTAACTTATTTTTAAATAAATAATAAACAACATTAAGCTATTGACTAAGGATTACAGAAATCTTATCTAAATTTAATACGCACAATTCATAAATAATCAATATTATGCATGCAATATAAAAAATATTTATTCAAATTTAATGAATAATAAATATATCATTCGAAAATTCCAATTTCAAGAAATTAAATGATATAAAATTATTTTATTTGATTACTATTTTATTATCATTTGATTCCTTACAATTAGAGTTTTCAAATGGTACATTATTTGTGAATGGATACGTAAAAAGAATAGTTGTATGTACGATGTCGATTATCCACGGATTGTGCATATCGGATTCGGATCGGGTTTCTGCGATCCCTTTTATTGACAATGAATCCATTAAAATACAAGCTAACAAAAAGAAATGTTCTTTTCTATATTACACCTGAAAATCAGTAGTTTTACAAGATTACCTATTCTATAGAGAATTCTATTTAAAATATTACGTAA